ATAAGCAAATGGGTGGAGACCAGATGCAGATTCATGGTGACCAAAGGCTATGGGGAGGTAGGAGTGGGGAGTTAGGCTTCCAGAGTTGTTTCCATTGAGGAGGATGAAAACGTTTGGGGAATATAATAATGATGATTACTGAAAACTAAAGTAACCACAAAACTGAATGGAAGTGCCAAGACAAGGAGACAAAAAGAGATGCAAGACCAAATGGGCAGCCCTACAACTGGCAATAGGAAGAAGCCATGGGAGAACCCAAGGAGTAGGGAGTGGGGGCCCCTAGGGGAGAAGCTATTGGTGAGCCGCCAGTTCAAGTGAGAGCAATCCCCCTGGGCTGGGGGCTGGGTAGGTGGGACGCTAGGGCAGGGCCAGGCTAGTGCTGAGCATTGAAAGATAATGGAATCTTACAGCTTTTCGAAGCCCCTTCATATTCTCTGCTTTTAGCCAAGATCTATTTGACAGGGCGTTTCTGGAAACTGTATGCAAAAATCCCGGTGGAAGATGGGAGAGCTCCCTGGGGCCAGAAAGCAGGGAGAAGTCAGCCTGGCCACTTGACAGGGGTACAAGGTAGTGGAAGCACGGTGACAAGAAAGGAGAGGGAATGAGGCTGGATGCTGGATCCAGAGGTAGGAGGCTGTGGAGGGCACCGTACAAGGACCTCTCTTTGCAAGGGCAACTGCAAAATAGGCTGTGAAGAATGTGGAGCGTAGGAGGGCGAGCCAGCTCTGGGCAGCCGAGGAAGCTGCCTTGAGGCACAAAGAGAGTAGCCTTGGCCTTGAGCCCTCAGTCAGTCTGCCCATTGAGACAGAAGCTGGCTGTCAAAGCTGTGTGCCAGACTGCTAGAGAAGCTAACACCAGACACACAAGCCAGGTGTAACTCTTGAGTAGCTGGGAGTGGCTGGGAAGTGGGTTGTCCATTGATGCCCTACAGAGAGGCAACATGAAGGCACCGTGCCCATGAGCCAAGTGTCCATCCTCAGGAACAGCTCCGCTGGCCTACTCTCCTGGCATACAGTGAACAACCAATCCCTTCAGACCCTCTAAAGGGGCTGTGAGCCAGTGAGGGAGAGTGGGGCAGTTGCAGGGAAGCATGTCAGTATACCAGAGCCATCTGGGAACTGGGGAAGGATGAGGCTCCGCTTTTGCCCTTGGGCTAGGGAACAGAGGTTGGGCTGAAGCACAGACATCTGCATTTCCCACCAGACCTGTAGTACAGGTGGGTCAAGTTCCACCCCAATGCCCCATCTGTATCTCTTAACCCAGGGCCTCCTCTGCCCACCCAAATCCTCCCTGCCCACCCATGCAGCAGGCAGGAAGTACAGAAAATTAACGCCCAAGGGAGCAGCCCAACCAATGACTGGTGGGGTGGGAATGTCAGTATCCCACCTCCCTCACCCCACTAGTGGGATGGCATTGGGGTACATGTTCTTCACAGTCACTCGGAACTCCCCAGTGGGTTGAAGCCCCTGTTAGGCAGAGGAATAACTCATTTGGTTTTTTAAAAATGAAGAACTGTTCCATCAAGTCAGATCCAGCGCACAGTGACCCTATAGGACAGAGTAGACCTGCCCCATAGAGTTTCCCAGGCTGCCATCTGGACTGAAGCACGCTATCTCATCTGCCGCCCATGGTACCTGGTGATCTCTGACCTTCCAGTTAGCAGGCCAAGCACTTAGCCACCCTGGACTCCTAGATAACACACCTTTTTCACACACACACACAAAAAAAACTTTTTTTTTTTAGCTAGTTTTCAACAGTTTCACCAACATACAATTCACATAACATGCATTTCAGTAGTTCAATCACACTCATAAGAGTTGTGCACCCATCACCACCATCAATGCCAGGACATGTCTTCTTCCTTGAACAAAATACATGGTTTGTGGATGAGTACTGATTAAGAACTTGGGCGACCGGATGCTATCTACACAAACAATGAGGGTTTGGGGATAGGGGGAAACGTTCATTAATGCTCGTTGACAAAGGCAGATCTGGAGTAAGCATGTCCTAAAAGGGAAAAGAGGACAAAAGTAGAACATATGTGGTCGTCTTGAGTCGCCATTTATTGGGCACCTTCACGCCAAGAAGTTTGAACTGAACTAACATCCAATGTTTTCCACATCCATAACCTTGGGATAGTAGTCATCTGCTTCTCACGTGTCAGCCTTAGGCCCATGGAGTGTTTCAGCTCCTCTAATCTGCTACCGGTGTGTTTAAGGTAGAGTCTGGTTCACTTAGTGGGAGTTCCAAACTGGATCCTTCTGGTGTGACCTATGAAGGATGCTGTACACCTCAAAAGGCCAGAGTCTAAAGTCCTGGTTGTTTATAATACAGAGTTTGGATCACCAAGGGCTGAACTGGGTCGAAAATGCCCAATTAGGACGCGATACTGAGCTTATTTTCTCATCAGTGGTTCATATGCTTAAAGTTGAGCATTTTATCCAATGGCAGGCTGCCCCACCCAGCAACCGAAGTGTAGTCACCCTCTGCAAGACAGACATACCTTCCATCCCACCACCTCTGGACTTGGATTTCCAGTGAGGCTCTTTAATCATTTTAGTAGGAGCGGCCGGATAACATGCCTCTTTTGGCTTCCTTCTCTTCCCACGTCTCACTTCCTTATCCAACTACGGGTGCTTCATTTACCCCTCAAAATAACAACTTGTATTTGAATCCTTTTTCTCAGGCTCAGCTTCTGGGAGAGCCCAAAGTAAGACAAATGCTCAACAGGATATGGTGGGAAAGTCTTGCAGACTGAGAGACTGAGTTTGAATACCAGTTCCTTTGTGTGTAAGGAACTCCCAGCAGGCCTCCGTACACATTGGTTGAGCCTCAGTTAGAATATTCTTGCTTACAACCAGACCCCGACCACACTCCCTACCCTGTTACCTACCAAGCCTACTTCAGACCTCACTAATAGCAATGCCCTTTGGCCAACTTTGCCTCACTACTTACAGCATAGTCTACTGATTTGTCATCCTGGGCTAAATATAAAAGAAAGAATTGTAGCCCAAGTCAGAAAGTTATTTTCAGTCGTCTGTCTTACTTTGCAGCCATTGAGGGACTCTGTTCTTGGGGCCCACCTTCCTGGAAGCTGAGGTCCACAGAGTAGCCCCCACATTCCAAAACCAACTGTCCAGCCCTTCTCCCAGGGGTAGCATCTCAGGAGCATTCCCTGATGGATACCAAGCCCACCAGATTCTAGCTTTGGTTCTGGCCACTCTCCAGGCCTGGGAACTGGATCCCTTCCCAGGATCCAAGTTTCTCCTCTCAAAGGCCACACAATTAGGAAGGAGGCGAAAACAGAGTGGATTAAGAGCTTGCTAAGAGCTCGGCTTTAAAATAGATGAACCTTCACAAAATCCCTTCCAGACAGTGTTGTCCCTGTTTCTCTGAAAAGGAAAGGATGGATTGGATGGTCCAGGGACTTGCGTGACCAAGGCTTGGCAGGATGGACTGTGTGACCCCACATGACCGTCCTCTTCTGAAACTCTCCCTATCTGGTGGAGGTTGGCACACCCTGAGTGATGTGTTTCCCAGGGTGGAGAAGAGAGCCCACACACACAGGCACATACAGAGCACCACCATCTCCCACCTCTGTGCCCATGGTACTTTATTCACTGTGCTTCTTAGGAAACAAGGCCATGGTTTTAATTACACACACAAAAAAAAGTTGTTAACTTGATACTGACTTATAGCTACACTCCAGGACAGATCACTGTCCCCAGAGGGTCTCCAATGGTATACTCTGTACATTATCTTTCTCCCACGGAGCAACTCGGGGACTCCAACCACCACTTTTTGGTTAGCAGCCAAGCACTGAATCTCTGTCCGACCAGGGCTCCTTAGGAGCAATCCTTGGCCTACCTTGAATGCAGGGGTTCGTACCCTTCCTGTCCATGCTGTGCACTCCTTAGGCATCTGGGGAAGACGGCAGATCCCTTCTCAGAGTCACGCTTGCAAACGCATAACATAAAACAACAAGGACTACAAGTGAAACTGATATGACATATATTTTTAATGTTATGGTAGAAAAACACCTGTAACAAGAGGTTTGCCATTTTCATCCCTCATAAGTGTACCAGCCAGGGGCCGATTGCGTCACCAGGTGTGCTGCCCTCATCACTATCCATTCCCATAAGTTGATCATCACTCCAGATAGAAATCTCGAAATATTTGAAAGGGAAATTTGTGATTTAGTAATAAACGTGCTTCTTCCTTAACCAAAATAAAAAACGCAACTCCCCACCATCCAGTGACCCCACAGGACAGGGTAGAATTGCTCCTGTGAGTTTCTGAGCTGGTTCTCACTATAGGAGTCGAAAGCCCACCCCCTGCAGAGCAACTGGTGTTGTCGAACTGCTAGCCTTGCAGTTAGCAGACCAAAGCATAACCACACTATGCGACCAGGCCTCCTCCTTCACTAACAGCTGGTTCTCATGACTGGCATTCCCAAATAATAAGGAGCAGAAACCATATTTCAAAGGATCTGCAACAACTATGATCGGGGAAATATCGGAGGAATTTCTAGCATTCATCCAAACAATATGAAGCGGCAGCCGGGGTACCTGTTCTGACCTACAAAAATATCCCACTCATACGTTTTGCCAAATTCTATGACCCACACTCATCATTGAAGGAAATGTTCCGTTTCAGGGAGAGATGAGTAAAAAGGAAGATACATTTTTCACGGGCAAAATGGAGTTCAAAGGGTCAGGAAATTTCCCAGCGACTTGTCGAAGCCCCCGTTGTATATGTAAGAGCCTTGGGCAAAGTCCATGGGGCTTGATTTGCCAGCCCTGGGGTGCAGTCGGTTATGAGCAGGGCTGCTAACTATCTGCTCGGCAGTTCGAAACCACCTGCCGCCCCTCCGAGAGCCTAATAAGGCCTTTTGCTCCTTTGCAGTGGGATTTGCAGCGAGGGGTGCGCCCAGGTGGCCAGGTTCTGCCTGGCCCTTCCCCGCCCTGCAGGACCTAACCCGCGTCTCTCTGGCTCCCCAGGCTCCCTGTTCCCGCAGCTGAAGCCATCCGAGGGCGTGTTCAAGGTCATCTTCTGGCTTGGCTACTTCAACAGCTGCGTGAACCCGCTCATCTACCCCTGCTCCAGC